TGAGAAATATGACTCTCCTCATATTAGTTAGTTAGTGATTCAGGTTCTTTCTCCGTTATGGAGTTTCACCATCTTTGAATCAGCAAAAAAAAAAAAAAAATCCTACATCAGCATGAAATTTGTCATTCCTGCCTCTATTTCCGGTCACTGCCATCTACCTCACTTGCCTGCAAGTGTTTGGGTTTTTTTTTACACACCTTGCTGGTGACCTTGGGTGATTTTGAAACAAGAGAGGAAATAATACTTTAACACTAGTTACAACTTGTTAACACCAACCAGTCTCACTCATGGGCTGGGGACAAGATGAGAATATCATAGTGTCATCACAGAAATATATATATTATAAATATATATATATATATAGAGAGAGAGAGAGAGAGAGAGAGAGAGAGAGAGAGAGAGATGTTACCAGGGCATGTTTGTGACACAATTAGTTGTGAGATCTTCAGAAGAGAGACAAAGGATACAAAGTAAGACCTGCAACAAGGACAGCAATATTTTTGGCAACATTGTTTTTTGCCAACTGTAGGATATATAGGTAGCACTTTAATTCAATAAGGAAGAATGGTCAACATTCCTGCCTAGAGAAATTCTAGAAATAATTTAGGAGGCCTGTAAAGGTGTCCTCGTGTCTACTTTTTTTCACCCCAAACCCTAAAAAAGAATCTTTTATTGGAATTTTTTCATGCCTGAAGCAATTTAATTTAATTTATTAAATTTATATGCTGCCTGACGCTCAGCAACTCTAAATGCAATGTCTCATCTTGATCTCAAATACTATCTCTAGGGCAGAACAGGGCATAAAATGTCTGTTCTAGATTAATACTTGTCTCTCTGTGTGAAGTATTTGATGCCAGCTTTTTCTAAACTGTGAAATATAGTAACAAGATACGTGCAATTTGGCTTTTCTTTCTAAGAGTCCTTCAGAAGCAGAACTTTTTCACTTGGCAAATCAGAACAGAATGCTCTGCCTGTCCTATAGATTAGAAGGTTTTCAGTTTCCTTTTTGAAGTCACTCCAATAACGTGACAATAAAGGCCAGGGACAAAATTTTAAATGTTCAGAAAAAGAATATAGGCTGGGGGAGAGGAGAGAAAGAGAGATGATTTTGCTTTTAAATCCCCTCCCCGCAAAGTGTGTTTCACTTCTTCCCAGACCTGTTTAAAACCACTAGATTTCATGCAAGTTATAATGTAAGAAACAGATAGTGGGTTATTCCTTTCTCCAAAAGTTCACACAGCAAAGTGTAAGGCTTTGGCTCCATTAACAAATATACAACCCAACAACGGAAGTGGAGAACTTCCTTTATCCAGGACCGAAAATAATTTTAGGCCAATAAATCCATAAAAGCACCCTTACATACACAATGCAAAACAAAAAAATACTTCATAAATTTGCATAACCGCTGAAAACTACGATTGTTGGACATTTTAGAATATTGGGAGCTATATAATATAAAAGAAGCTGTATTGATTTTCTTACAGAGAAGGCCTCTGGCAACTTGAACTGGGCTTTCTTATTCAAGCTTTTGGTAAATGTGAATTTTGGAATGAAATTATACAATGGGTAAGATCAATTTATAGTTCACAGAAAGCACAAATAATTGTTAATAGAGATCTAACAAAACCCCATGAGATACAAAAAGAAGAAGACAGAAATGCCCACTCTCTCCTCTCTTGTTTATTTTAGTCTTTGAAATATTGCAGTGAGGTAAGAGACAAGATGGAACAATTGTGGGAATAAAGATTTTAAAAATAACTGGTAGTTCTTAAGGTAGTCCTTATGACTAAAATTGAGCCCACAATTTCAATTGTAAGTCATGACAGTCATTAAACAGGTCACCACATGACTACATCCAATTTTATGATCTTTTTTACCAGGGTAGTTAAGAGAACACAGTGGTCATAAAGTGACCTTAATGAGGTCATTAAGTGAACCTATTGTTCGCTATGGGATGGGTTTTTTTGCCGGAAACTACTTTCTGGCAATAATGTCCTAAATATCCTAAATTGTGATCTCATGACTTCAAGATGTAGCAAATGTGCATAAATGCTGAGCACCCAAAATGTAGTCACGTGACCATAGATGGCAAGGAAGCAGAGGCTGGAACTTCAAATCTGAGTGATTTTTTTCAGGATCTTTTGTAACTGAATATACGCTCAGTGACTTGTTGTAAGTGGAGGACAACTGTATCAGTGGTGAGTTTTGACCAGTGTTACCACCAGTTCGCTTCATGCAAGCTCAGTGTATTGAGACTCAGCAATCCGCTCTGCTGCTGGTCTATCTTATTTGAAATTGTATTTTGCAGCATGTTGTTTGGTTTGGATGTGTGAATGGGTGCTTCTAAGAAATAGAAGGATCTCAGGGTTAGAAAGATACAACCTGAGATTTGGGTGAGGTGGATATTTGTGCTAAATGGATGTTTAGCAAAGATGCTAAAATCTTTGATTATAATATACAGATTGAACAATGGAATAATCACTATTTGCAGATGCTGCAATTTTCTTGACAAACACTGAAGATTTTGAAGACAGAGTAAAGGACTATCATTCGTTAGATGGCAGGGAATAGTATTTAGAACAGAGCTATATACTATAAAAATAAACTTTTCTACACTTTATTTTCTTGTCCAATACGTATGACACTATACAGCATGGAAATTGACAGTAGTCCCATCTTGGGTTCCTCTACTCCCCCTTAAATGTGGATTCAATCTTAATATTTTATTGAGATGTCTGTATATTAAATACTTCCATACCTCCACTATTAACATCCAATTATACAAAGTTGGAGGCAGGGATACATGTAATGCAATGCCATGGAAGGATAAACCATATGTAATACTTATAGAGAAATGTGAAAAAGGAAAGCTGCTTCAATGCTGTTTTGAAACAAGATTGACTTTGCAAGCAAGCAAACAGACAGGCAGGTGGGCAGGCAGGTAAGGATTGAAGGATGAAGCTGTTTACGTGTTAATTAGTATGGCACAATTCTGTGCTATATTTTGAACAGAAATTCGTCTGCACAAAAAGTACCTTAATGATTTTCTATTTTGTAACTTTTGCACTTAGGCTTCTTAAAACTTCACAAGCAATATCAGGTCTAATATTGATTAGAGACCTTGATCTAAATGCCAAGAAAATTGATTAAAATGACATGGCTGCAGAAAGTAAATTTATGCTGCTGCTTTGGCTGTTTTTGCTATTATACCTGGTCTAACGTAGTGGATGGATGAGCCAGACACAGATTCAGATTCAATGAGTCACAAAACAAACAAGAAAACTCAGCTAAATATGTTTTTCTCAAGCAGCCTCAAAATCCCTGCTCAACTTTTTGTCTAGTCACCTGAGAGTGATGAATGCATTTATGAGTCACTGGGGTGACACTGAGGTCTAATGGTCAGTAACCTGCAGGGACCGAAAGTTCACTGTAGATCACCCTGCTGTCAGACATTTCATGACACTTTGTCACTGAGAATTTCCTACAATATAAGACAATGCTTTTGGTTTTGTTTCTAATTGACCTGAAGTGTTGCCATCACCTTCTTCCAACATTATAAGTTTTAGACTATACATGCCATCATTCTCAGGCAGCGAAGTTTGTGTTAGTTGGAGGTGATCAATGAGGGCACTTGCTGCAGATAAAGGTATCAGTGGAGTCCTTAATGCTCTCCAAAGTCAGGGGGCACCAAGGACTCCACAGTTCAACCCTGATCTATTCTCTTCTATTGTTATAATGGGATCTATAGATTAATCCATATGGAGAAACCAGATAGTCAATGAAAGATCTAGGATAGGGCTGTCAAACTCCTGGCCCGTAGGCCAGATGCATCACATGCTGGCCATGCCCACGCCTGGTTTAGCGAAGGGAGGAAAGTCCCGATACGTCATGTGATGCTGCCGTGACGACGTGAGTTTGAGACCCTTGATCTAGGAAGTCAGGGTCTGTTGTTGCTGCTGCTGCTGCTCTTCATCACTTGAGCTTCATCAGTTGAGACTTTCAAGAAAAGATTGGACTGCCATTTGTCAGAAATGGTGTAGGATCTCCTGCTTGAGCTAGATGACCTCTAAGGTCCCTTCCAACTCTGTTAATCTGTCAAATCTGCTCTTAGGACAGCTCATCTAATTCCTGGTGGCATAATATAGGGACCCAGCTATGGATGGAAGTTAAGGGGTTTCCTAAAGAAGGGACTGCAGGAGAAAGGATGATCACAAATTGACACCACTAGATGGTGCACTAATAGAATGTTTAGGGCAGATACATTTTACTGATATATACCGTAAATGTTGTTAATAAATATTTTTAAAACACTTATTTCCCAACTAAACATTAAGAGCAAATCCTGTCACTGATTTTCAGTGATAAACTGACGGCATGCCCTTGGGATGCTCTTGCAGCTGCCTAAAAAGCGGATGGGGCCACTTGCTGTCCAGCTTCAAAACAACTACTTATATCTGTAGCTCATGGATAGTATGTGGGGCCATCTCCTTTTTAAGCAGCTGCAGGAGCCTCCCTGTCACTTTCCACTTTTCCAAAAGCATTGTTCTTTATGTGCAGATTCTCAAAACATTTATTTGAGTGTAATCAGGATGAATTCAGTAAACATGCTGTTCGGCTAAGAGATAATTTTAAGAAATCTGTCCATAGCTACTCCTGGATTGAAGCCAATAAGCAACGGATAAATGGCACACCACCCACCTGAGGCTAATTGTCTGAACCAGCCTTCCCTGCCCCTTTCCCAGTTAAAGGACAGGAGCCTATCTGTATGCTTTTCCTTTATCTAAATCAAACTAAGGGAAGTGGGCTTTGATTACAATCCTCTCTCTCTCTCTCTCTCTTCACTAATTATTCTTCCTGTGGGAGGGGACAATTAGCTTTATCTGGTGACCTCACAAAGGATGCCATGGCAACGGACAGGATATATCACATTAGAGAGCATTACTATGTAGAATGGAGAAGAAAAAGAGGGGCGATGGAAATGAACAGGAGAGAATTCAAGCATCGGCTTTTTCAAACCACAGCAGAGCCAACAGGACAGTATTCCATAACTAAATATACCCCAGATGTTTTAGACAACAACTATCATAATTCCCAGCTGGACACATCATTAAGGGTAACAAGAATTACAGTCCAACACATCTGGAGAATATGATAAGATTCTTATATAACACTACAAAGACTTTGGGAAAGAGTCAATAAATCGGCTGCCAATATTTTAGAATGAATTACATATAACTTCCAAATACATCTATTGTGAATTGTCCATGCAGCTGGAGACTATGAGAATTTCCACTTTAGCCGATCTAAAGAGCATGTGCCTGGCAAGGCTGACTTAAACTCTCTTCTTGGTCTGTCTAAAACACCAACCTACCAACCAGGGGTGAAAATACTGGCTATGAATTTAGATTAGGCATTTTAATTATATATAATTTAAACACTGACATATATTTTAATTTTTAATTGACTTAAATCTGCAAGTGGAAGTTCTTCATTAGTTGTTGACCTCATCAGAGACCTCAGGTTTTGCAAGGGTATGTTATGCAATTAAATTGCCAAATTAAGTCATGAGAAACGTTGCAGAATAAGTTAACTGGAACCACTATCCATGGCAAATGCAAACAGCTTTAGGTTGAAAAGCAGCATATGGGAAAAAATAGGTCTTATACCAGTATAGTTTCCTGGGGAGGGCATGGATGAAACTTGCATTGCAATATTATTGTGCAAATATCCCTCCTTTCATATGTATATGTGATATTGCAAAAAATATGGAAGTAGGTCACAAAGATGATCACATGATCCTGGGATACTGCAATTGTCATAAATACATGCCAGTTGCCAAGAATCCGAATTTTGTTCACATAACCATGGGAATGTTGCAACAGTTGTAAGTGTGAAAACGGTCATAAGTCAGTTCTTTTCAGCTCCATTCTAACTCTGGTCACTAAACAAATGGTTGTAAGTCAAGGACTACCTATAAATCCTTAATTTTGCATATTAGCAAAATAATGATTAGGATCATCCAAGCAAAGATTAGACATCTAGATAGAAAAGGTCAAGGAACAAGGCCTGTTTTTCACCCTCCCAGAGTCTCCATGCGTACTCTGCACTTACCTGGCATCCAAAACAGGCTGCGTGGAGACTCCTGGGAGGGGTGGGGTAAGGTGGGCGTGGTCAGCCAGTCCTTGGAACAATCAGTTCGGCAAACCAGATTAAAATTAACATCCAGTTTGCCCGAATCAGTCCAAACTGGCTGAATCCCACCCCTGGGGATAATTAAGAAAACCAAAGAATGTTCTAAAAAAGAAAAGTCAATATGCTTCATGCATTGTATAAAGAGCTTTGATTGAATCAACAGTGTCAAAGTGTGAATGTCTTTAGAAAAATGGGAATCCCAGAACATTTCACTGCACTCTTGAGAAATCCATACACAGGCAGCATCTATCGTCTGGATGGAACATGGTGAAATAGACTGGCTCCAGTTTAGCAAAGGAATGAAACAATTCCTAGTGAATTTAACCTGTATGCTGAATATGAAGTATATAAAGGGGAGCTAGATTGGAAGACGATGAGAGTAATTTTAAACTGGAAGAAGAAACATCAATATTCTTCTTTATGTTAATGACCCTGTTATAATAGCGGAAAATGGAAATGATCAGAAAAATCTAGCAATGAAAACCAAAAACCAGACTGAAAAAGTGAGACAACTTTAAATGCAGAGAAAACCAAAATAATGACAACAGGTAAAGAAATTAACTTCAGAATTGACAATGAATATATAGAAGTGGTGAATAGCTTTTGCCTTTTAGGATCAGTCACCAACACTAAAGAAACCAGCAGCCAAGAAATATAACCATGGATTAGCACTTTGTAATACAGTAATGATGACTCTGGAAAAGATATTTGAATGCTGTTATTTGTCTATACTGCCAAAAAATCAGAAATGTGGAAATGGTGGTTTTCCTGTGACACTATAGGGAAGTGAAAATTAGACTCTGAAGAAACAAGATCAAAAGAGTATTGATGGTTTTGAGTTTTGGGATTGGATAAAACTCCTAACAATACTATGAATAGCCAAGAAAACAAACAAATGAATCATAAACAAATCAATCCAGAGTTTTCATTCAAGATACAATTGACCAGGTTGAAATTACCACATTTTGCGTACATTATGCAAAGATACAGCTCCCTTGAGAAATCTGTAATACTGGGAAAGGTAGAATGAAAGAGAAAAGGATCAAAAGAGCAGCAAGATGGATGGACCTGATTACTATATTATTCTCCAATGATATACCATTGGAAAATCCGAAGGGCTATGCTGCAGACAGATCACGCTGGCCTATCCACGTGGCTGATAAAACAAGCACTGATTTGATAGTACACAATTAATCATTCAGTTGTTTACCATGAAACATACGATATCTCTTTCCCCTTTCAAATTCCTGGAGGTTATGACCAGGACACAGACTTTATGGGGTTTATATTGGAGGAATTTATGATAGCCTGGACAATTTTGAATGTCGGAAGTCTCACTTTTGTTTTTAAGTAAAAAAATACGTTTTTTAAAAAATTAAAAACTCTTATACATAACACCATAGGCATGAATGGCCAATACAACCAAAAATTTACTTCAAGTCCTGATTGAATGAAAAGATATAACTATAGCTTCACTGAACAACCTAAATAGCATCCATTCTACATATTGATTACAGTATAAAGATGGAGGACAGCAAAATTCTTAAAAGAGAATACAGAATAGTTTTCATATTTTTTTGTTACTATAACCCATAATCAAAGAATTCTTGCAGGGCTTTTAAACCAGGGTGAACATATTTGCCAGCCATGAAAATGGAATTAGTTTAGAGCGACAATCTTTCTTGCAGATTGTTGTGGGATTTGTTATTCATCTCCAACCTATACGGAAGCCAAACTAAAATCAGAACTCCCTGTCATATTTGTAATGCATATTCCCTTCCTCATATAACCATCACAAATTAAGAAACTTCTGTAAAAAGTTAATTGTGCACACAAGAATTATGTAGGTATGTAAGTATTCCAGTTCCAAGCATGCATTTAAATAGCAAAAACAGCAACACGCTTATCTTTTTATTTAGAAATTTCCTTTCTCATCATTGTACATATACTATAGAATACATGACAATATATAATAGAATAAAATGCTCCCTCAAATCATACCAGCTGAAAGGAAGTTTAGGACTTCCTATAAACATTTTTATGTTTATACATGCTAACCTAACAAAATTCAGTAAACACTGCATCTCAAATCATAAAATGAAAATAGCACTCAAAAACAGCTAATGGATGTTATAAAGTGAAAATTATCCATAATCATCTCTTTTTATTCTCTGTCATACATGCTCACTGATTTTATATTCTCTGCACATCCCTCTATCTTTTCTTCAGAGCCAGCTCCTTTGCTACCTTGGCAACAGCCATCCCAACAGCCAGCCATCGATTTGAAACAAAAAGAAAGAATAAGAAAAACAGAAGTTGAATTTACAAAACAAGATTACACAAGGGAATTTCTTTCTGTTACTTAATTATTCTGATAAAGAATAAGGTAACCCAATTTTCTCCTTTCCTACTTTTGTCGCTTAACACTCATCCCTATATCAATGGTTGAGAAAAGTGACATGTAGCCTACAAACACATCTGAGATGGATGAAATGCTTCTGAATTTCTTCTGTTTATTTAAAAAACGGCTTTAAGAGTATAAATGTAGATTCAGCTATTAGCCTGGTGGGGGTGGAGTAAAATATCTGTGTAAATGGGAAACATCAGGCATCAGCTTCTAGGAAGAAAAGGGCTTTATTTCTCAATTATCTTTGTGTCATGGTGCATCTGCCACTGAGCTCAACTAATATGTTTCACTTTTATTACAAATTCCAGGCTCATTCACATTTTTTTTAAAAAAATCCTTAAAATGGACTTCAAAGGGGTGGTGGCAAAAGAAAGCAGAGTTGTGCAGTCTATGAGTAAAGATAATTGAAAGTTAAACAATTAGAGGACAAACCGCACTGCTATATGCTTGCCATTTGGAGCTGGGGCTTACTTTCAGTCCCAACTTCCTGGTGAGACACAACTTGAGGAAAGGACCTGGCCTTCTCTCAAGAAATCAATGAAATCTGTTTCCCCTATTTCATCTGGGCAACATTTCATGGGAAATATTCCTACAAAATGAGCATGTACGTTTCCAGAGGAAAAACAGTTATGGTGTAAGCATTAAAATATCTCACTCTGAGCTCCAGTCAAATACTGTAGCAATGGGACTGGGTGAATGGCTTAAACGGGATGGCCTCAAGGCCCCTTTAAAATCAGTTACTGTATTGGTACAATATGCTTAACCTGGTTACTGAGTAAACCCATTTGTACAAAGCGCTGAAACATAAATTGCCCACTTGGACTGAGTTCACACAAAAGGCTTTGCTACTAAAACAATAACAACAGCCATAATAACAAAATAACAGATTTGGAAGGGACCTTGACTGTCTTCTAATCCAACCCCCTGATCAAGTAGGAAACCTTATATCATTTCTGACAAATGGTTGTCCAATCTCTTCCTTAAAACCTCCACTGTTGGAGCATCCACAATTTCTAGAGGCAAGTCATTCCACTGATTAATTATTCTGTCAGGAAATTTCTCCTTAGTTCTAAGTTGGTTCTCTCCTTGGTTAGTTGCCGTCCAATTGTCCAGGTTTTACATGTTGTATGTGGCCATTGGGGTTTTTTTTAACTCACCAGATTAAACATCTCATCCAAGCACAGCTATGCCACACAACCAGCAAAAGGACTACTTAATCAATTAAACCTAAATCAATTAAATTGCTGCCTGCAATTACTGCAAGTTCAAATCTCACCAGGCTCAAGGTTGACTCAGCTTTCCATCCTTTCTAAGATAGGTAAAATGAGGACCCGGATTGTGGGGGCAATAAGCTGACTTTGTATAAATATACAAAAGTATGAAGGCTATTGCTTAACGCATTGTAAGCCGCCCTGAGTCTCCGGAGAAGGGCGAAACAAAAACAAAAACCAGCAAACATACCTGGCCTTGTAGGTAAAACAATGGTCACACCACAAGGATAGGCAATGGATAACCTGTTCTTATTGATTCCTGTTTGCTCTTGTTGGCTATATACATATGATTGATAATAAATCTTTATATTCTAAAAATACTTGGAGGAAGAAACTCCACCCTTTTGCTCTGCTCTGACCTCAATAACTTCCCCTTTATTTATTTTCTTACCATTATTTCCTGCTTTTATTCTATGAAGCAAAATATACATGGATTTTCCTTTATTTCATCCCCCAGCAATCCTATGAGCTTGGCTGATCCCATCCTCTTTACTTCCATCCACCGTGCTTTCCTCCCAAGAGTAACACTTGGCAAACTACACTATATTGTTGCTTGGATTCAAAACAGTTGCTCCATCCTATCTTACTACAAAACTCCAATCAAGTCCTCCAATAGAAGAGAAGCCCAAAATACCTGCATAGTTCCTCATAATTGTAAATGTAACTACACAAAAAAGTTTAAGACATCATTCGCATTCTTCTATGTTCATAGGTGTAAGTAGTCCACAGAATGGGCTCCCAATTATGATTTTATTTTTCTACATGAGAGGAATAAATTATTTTCACAAAAAATCCTTAAAATACTTTAAGGGAAAATAGTTATTATAAATGTGGACTTATTTAGGAGATGTTTTCATGTAATTTATATATTTTAATAAAATAAGAAACCCATGTTAATATCTAGAGAAACACAGAATTATTACATAAAGATGTGTTTGGAGCACACAGAGATACATTGTTATGCTGTGATTTTAAACAGCAAAACAGCTACAGCAGTTGCTGGTTCTTTCCGTGCTTCACGTTCTCCCAAATTGATTTTTCCTGAGGGATTCAATATATGCTCATATATATTGTCCTGTGTGTGTGTGTGTGTAAAATCATATGATTATATATTATGTAATTTGCATTATCTAGATATATATATTCTCAAATTCTCATATGATTCTATATATGATTCCATATTCACAAAACTGAAGACCAACTGAAGATAACACTTGACACAACCAGTACACTATAGTTGATGCAGCCTTAAGACTCTAAGAATTCTGGAAGTTGAAGTCCACCTATTTTAAACTTGCCCAGGATAAGAAACACTGCTTTAATGTTCCAAAGTCTTTGATGCCCAAAGTAATTCAGTTATAGGCAACAGGTTGGAGTTGTGTTAATCTTGTTTTCTTATCGATTTTTGAGTTCCTTTCCTTCCTCATCGTAACCTTGTAATGTGAAGAAGTTAACAATGTCTAAACACTTTTGAGACTCTAAAAGCTGTCTCTAAAAGTATCCCCTAGCTGAATAGGTATTATGTATGTTTGGGCTATAAAGTCTAGATGGAAAAAAAAAGAGCCATGTAGAATTCCATATCATTTGCAAACAACACAGTCAATTTTAAATGCTTGGGAAAGGAACTACATTACCACCACTAGACAAGGCATCAGCTGCCCCAGTCCTTGCCAAGTTCCTTCCACCGTCATAAATGGGAAGGGAGAGGCACATATCTCATACTTCTCCCTCCAGCAGCTGAAGCAAGGAGGACTGGGAACTAGTTCCCATACCAAATCAGTATTCACCCATCCTTCCAGCTTGGTCATGCTAGATAATATTTCACCCACAGGGCCAAGCAGAGACTATTGCATAACCAAGTGCTACAATTTCCAGCCATAGTAAATTAAACAGCAGGAACTTATAAAAAGGCTGCAGTAGAGACGTGGCACTGAACCCCAGATTTCTATTCTCCCAGGAAGGTTACAGTCCAAAACAGCTGTTCCCAGCTGAGCCTAGGCTCATAGGGATCATATGTCCTCATGAGAGTGGAAAAAACAAACTTGACACAATACAATACTCCCACATTGATCAGATTGTCTTGCAGTGGGGAGATTCAGATTCTTTCTCTTCCAGAGCAGTCTCTTATTTTTAAGAGCACAGGGAATTTATTACTTGAAGGGCAAATACAAGAAAATGATAGAGTTGATGTCTGAATAGGTCAAATTTCTCAATATGTTAGGAATGGCCTATTTTGCATGTGGCAAGAGGGAGAGCTGTGTTACTGGGGTAACTCATTCTCTATTAAAGGGGAATTGATTTTCAATCCTCTCATCATATGACTCTTGTCCAAAACTATCGTTATCTCTGCCCTAGGAAACCTCATCCTTCCCTCCCTTCCAAGACAAATTTATCTATTCAACTCTAACTACAGCCAATGATAGATTGCTTTGTTGCCAAAGCCTGGCAGAAATTCAGAAAATAGATGGAAAGACAATCAACAGTTTCCAAAAGAAATTAATAATAAGCAAAATCTTGAGTATAAAGTGAATATCCTATTTCTTAAATAGGTATATTCAGCAAAACTTTCTACCACAATTATAATCATGTCAATAGAAATACTTGGATCACGGGCGTTAGTCACATCTTCTTTGCATATTTCCAACACTGCTTTTAAGTGGTAGCCTGGATAGAAATGGTGTACAGCATTCTAAATCACATGGAGAGTCTATGTATAGGTTCCTCCCTCAAAAGCTATTCCCCTCCACCTTATGGAAGCTACTGGCAGAGGCACAATGGCAAGGGTATGCCTTTTTCAACTCTGTAAATACATGCTGGTTGCTAAGCACCCAAATTTTGATCATGTGACCACGGGGATGCTGCAACCGTCGTAAGTGCAAACACCAGTCATACGTCACTTTTTTCAGCACCGTGCTATAACTTAGTTATAAGTAACTGCTTAGGACCTGCAATGCTTAGGGTCTGCAAAATCCTAAGGAGCTGCAAAATAACAGCCTGACTAGGTGGCTCAGTAGCTAAGACACTGAGCTTGTCGATCAGAAAGTCGGCAGTTCAGTGGTTTGAATCCCTAGTACAGGTCTTCCGCGTGAGCAGGGGTTGGACTAGATGAGTGCCAAGGTCCCTTCCAACTCTGTTACTATTAATTCCCAAAATAGAGTCATAAATCCAATCACTGACCTCTGCATTTTACATGCTACTTGATCAGAAGTTCATCCTCTCACACAACTGACAAAACAAAACTGTCTAGAATAAATCTATATTCTAGGACTTAATTTATGTGGAACAATAAAAAGGCTCACTGTGGCCTAGAAAATATGTATCCAAAAAAATTGTCTTCTTTACGATTATCCATAGCCTCCCTTGGCCCATTTGGTTCCGTAATGAACTTCATTACTTCCCATGTTTTCACAATCTATTCTCTACTCAAGTTCTACTTCTCTTATTCATTTTCATGTATCATGTTTTTACACAGCTTCTCAACTGTGCATTGCCTGCTTGACTTCTGAGGGATGGAGCACAGATTGTACCTCATTCAGGCACACAATCCTTGAGAAGCTTTGGAGAAGGTAAACTTCTTTCTTTTTTTACCGGAATGATCAAACTAAAATTGCCCAAATAGTGTATATAAAGAATGTTTTTTGAAAAAATCCCCATGGGCACTAACTAAAAGTCCCCCCCCCACAAAAAAACATTCTAATGGTGTTATATGAGGAT